CTTCAAACCTTCAAGCCTTAAACTGTAAACCACAGAAACGATGAACTAAACACACATCACACAGACTATCGACGCCATCAACTTTCAACTAAAGAGAAACAATTCCAGGAGAAGACGCAGCAATAAAAACTGAGCTGAGAAAAATACCAAAACAGTTTATCCATCTCGGCCTTATAGATGGAAAATGTCCAACACTGACATTTTTTGTTTGTCACTAGTTCCAAGAATGTTACGTACAAGTCACTAAGGCCCACGCACACCGAGCTGCAAGACTTAACCCTTAGAATACCAAAAATACCCCAAAAATACCGTTTTTAACCGTTTAGTCAGGTTTTTTGGCTGCCATGACGCTAAATAAACATAGATATAATACTGGCTAATTGCATAGACAAGATATAAAATAAAAGAAACTTAAATACTCGAATAGTTGAATAATTCGTATAGCTCGAATGTTAAACCTTTTCTTCTAATATTTGGTGAAAAGTATTCCTATGTGCCAGTTGCCCATACATTCTCTGTAATAGCGTTCCCATAATGGTACATACTCAGTAATTAAACAAATAATTTTTCTAGCTTAAGAATTTCAGCTATTAATCTAAAATTTAGCCCACATCGTCTCTCTATCATTGAATTAAAAACAATCACTTGGGTTTAGGATTGAGTTATTTATAATTGACTAATTCACATATTTTTTAAAGCTTCTGTATACATAAATTATAGAACAGTTAATAATTACGGCAAGCCTACATGCGACGCTTCGATAGCTCAATTGGTAGGACGTTGGAGTGCAGTATTCGTCCACCGTCTTGTGGAAAGACAAAGAGCACGACCATTACTTGCGAATATATGCGTAATTGGGGCTCAAAGGGTTAATCACAAATGTATGAATTCCTTCATCGAGCCAAATTTTGCTCGTTAGAGGCTTAGAATGGTCAACTGGACTGTTTTATGGCGAAAAAGAAAGTTTTGGAGAAAATTTGTGCTTTTCTTTAAACATAGATATAATACTGGCTAATTACACAAACAAGATATAAAATAAATAAACTTGAATACTCAAATAGTTGAATAATTCGTATAGCTCGAATGTTAAACCTTTTCTTCTGGTATTTAGAGAAAAGTATTCCTATGTGCCAGTTGCCCATACATTCTCTGTAATAGCGTTCCCATACTGGTACATACTCGGTAATTAAACAAATAATTTTTCTAGCTTGAGAATTAAAGCTATTAATCTGAAATAGAGCCGAAATCATCTCCGTTTCATAGACTTTAAAACGGTCATTCGGGTTTAGGATTGAGTTATTTATAAACTAGACGCTTTGCTGCGTGTACCCAGGCAGTCGTTATACTGAGAGGCACTAGCTATATTGCAATTGAGCTAAATGTTCTGCATTTGAAGTCGTACGAAATTCAATCGAATCGATGTGGTCAAGCTACTCTGCCTTTGATTGCATTTCTTGGAATCGATTAATAGATCGTTACTCGTTTGCAGGCCTTTAGGGCGTTAAATGAGTCAAGGTCTTTATATCAGCCTATAAACATTTCAGTGTATTTTCATTAGCCTTTGTTGTTGTTGTTGTTTTTTTGTTTTTTTTGCGTTTCTCAAGCAAGCAAGACATTTTGAATTTTAGAGTTATGGCAGTGCGTGACATAGAGCTACGAACGCGTTTGTCGAAAAACATATACTTATCTCGTGATTTTTAGCCCATTCAGAAGTTAAAGTATTAGGAAAAGTGCTTATGTAAATGCTTTTTTGTTCAGTGCAGAAAATTAGTCGCCTAGATAGCCAAAGTAAGTTCCAGATGTTTACACTATTTTCCGGCCGCAATGTTGGTGTACCGCTGAGGTACACCAACATGACGGCTCCATACTGGGCTCTGTAAATTTGTGCAAAATACTTCGACGAATATATCTGAGGTTTGGAAAAACGCAAAGACTTAAAAATTAGAGAAGTGTCATCTTTATTAATCTCCTATAACATCACAATTTCTTGACCTTATCCACTTAATGGTTTTCGAATAATTTTTTTATTGCGTCAGGATTGCGTGACAGTGCAAGCCAAGAATTGTTTTGCTGGGTTCAACATACATTAGTTTCTTTCAACTTAAATGTACAATAACTCGCTACGTATGTTTCATTCTTTTAAAGACACATAACTCTGTTACACGAAAATAATATAAAATAAAGATTTTAACTTTATTATACTTTACGAAGTTTCACAGAGCGTTTTACGTAGGTGCACTCGATCAGATACATTCGTGAACAAATTCTCTAACCTTTCTGCTCTTGTTGCTCAGACGTTTTTTAGTTCGTGCTGGGATTCTACTTGGTTCACGATCACGTTTAAAAATACCATGACGCTTCTGAAAATGCTTTTTATCAAGTTGAAGAGTTGATAGCCCCAGTTGATAACTCCTTTGGTATAACATGATTCTTGATAAATTCACTCAAAATGTTCGCTCGTAAATTGATCTCTCGTGAG